GGTCAAGATTCTCCCAGACAGACCTCCCGCTCGGTTAATAAGAACTAAGTAATCACTTCATACTCTTGAAACCAGGAAAAGCTCTGACAGTGGAGGCCTTCAGGATCGTAACCTGACCTGACCTGACCTTTTACTTCAATAATCAACAAATATTTGATTAAAGACGTGCCATACAATAAACCTCCACTACCAAGACTACAAGCATATTCACACAGTGATGACTGCCTTTAAAACATAACAAGGTATATTCAACCACTTTAGGGAGGTTAAGGGCTAAACTAAATGCCTTACTCAACAGCTTCTTCCAGTCCTGAGAAGGTAAATGCTGAAGTATGTACAATGCCATCTCCTAATCCTCTGATGAGCTGTGCATTGGATGCTCTGTCTTGGAAACCTTTCATTTCGTTGACATATTCGCGAGTTAGCTCAGCCTCTTTATGCAGGCTCTCGTCTTCACGGGCCATCAGGTTTATCTGTGTCAGGAGTTGCAAATGCTGGAAAAAAGAAATTGAAAGTCAATTTTTACAGCAAGCTTTTGCATAATTTCTTAATCCAGAGCGATGACCCAAAGGGACAGAGAATCATAATTATGACAATTCACATTAATTATCATCAACAGACTGTTAAAATTCTTGTTATTTCTGTACTTCTCTGCAAACCCTTTTGGGCTCTCCTAACCTGAAATATGAATCTCTGGGGGGGGGGTAAACTTACGATGGACTAGCATCCCATCCAGTGAGTAGTAGTAAATACTTCTAGTCTCTTCATGCTACGGCCAAACCGGGATAAGTTTCCGCTAAGTGGGGCGCTGGGGTCGATTACAGACTTTCCCTTTTTAGCTATTCTAAACCACTAAGCAGTAGGACTTATGCGCGATGACGTCAAAACAATTTCTCGCAGCGTCAAACCGAGGCTTGGTGGTTATCGCTTCGCGTGTTTTGTTGGTGTTTAGAGAAAGAATCAATTCCCCTTGTCTGTTTTTTTAACTTTTTGTTCGAAATGCCTCAATGGTGTATTGCCTAGGGCTGTACAAACTCTTCAGACATGAAAATCAAAAAGTCCTGGCATCGCTTACCACAGGAGAACAAAGAACTGCTTTCAAAATGGCTTGCAAAAATTCGGCGAACAAGCACTCGAGGCTATGTGGCGACCACTCTGAAGCCGACTGTTTTAGGAAAATCCCGGGTTCTTTGCTTGTCAACTTAAAACCAGGGTCTATTCCCACAAAGTTTTGCTTTGTGCAAGAAAAAAACACCGAGGAAACCTCCATCAGAGCGAAAATCGGTCGAACGAAAGTAGCCGAGTTCGTACGTAAACGCAGCGTCGGACGATCTGCCAGAAACATGTGATGGCTTTGAAAGTGACAACATTGGTGATGGTTTCGTGGGAATTTCAGAAAAAAATATGTCACATCGGACATGGCTTTAGGTAATTCGCCTAAAATCACTTTTTCTGAGAATTATATCGACGGAGCTTCCTTAAGAGTGAACACCCCTAGTCAACTGACTATTCCTGCGTTAAAGAGATGGCTTTCCTGCAGGAAAGGAGCGAAATTGAGCGGAACGAAGCGATCCTTGGTCGAAAGGTAAAATACACGTGAATAGCTCATTTCCCCGGCATACGGGTATTTTACGTTGGATGATCAAACTAAAAGAAATCAACTGTCCCTTTCAGAGTTCAAAATTATAGAAATAGTGCTCTCGATAAGGACCTTATTGATCCAGACAATGCTGTTACTTTCAAAGCCATCGCATGTTTCTGGCAAATCGTCCGACGCTGTGTTTTCGTACGAAGTCGGCTGCTTTCGTTCGACCGATTTTCGCTCTGATGAAGGTTTCCTCGGTGTTTTTTCTTGTACAAAGCAAAACTTTGTGGGAATTGACCCCGGTTTCAAGTTGACAAGCTAGGAACCCGGGATTTTCCTAAGACAGTCGGCTTCAAAGTGGTCGCCACATAGCCTCGAGTGCTCATCAACTGGCGTGTTTGTTCGCCGAATTTTTGCAAGCCATTTCGAAAGCAGTTCTTCGTTCTCCTGCGGTCAGCGATGCCAGGACTTTTTGATTTTCATGTCTGAAGAGGTTGTACAGCCCTAGGCATTACACCATTGAGGCATTTCGAACAAAAAGTGAAAAACACAGACGAGGGGAATTGATTATTTCTCAAAATACCAACAAAACATGCGAAACGATCACCACCAAGCCTCGTTTTGACGCTGCGAGAAAATGTTTTGACGTCATCGCGCATAAGTCCTATTGAATTTGTGAATATAGCAACCATTTTGAATTAATAATTCTCACTGCGTAAGGATTCTTGAATAGTATTATTTGTCGTTTAAGTAAGAAACTCCATGCATTGTAAACGATCCTTCATCCATCTGAATTTCAAATTAGCTAACAGCTACTACTAACATACATGTTAGAATTGCTCTAAGAGATTTCCTTTTTTTTTTTAACCATAGGGATGGATAAATACAACGTACATGTTTTATGGAAGCTACTCCAACAACGTCTTGGTAATAGGTAGCGAAAAAACTTTCTACAACATGCCGCTGGCTTATTTTTTGGTTGGCTGCATATGCTTTGTGGTGATTTTACTCTCAATATTATGGAGGTAAGAGAGGATTCAGTCTTAAACCTTTGACATCCTTACACGAGTATACACATTCTTTACACTGTCCTCCATATATTTCCTAACGTACTGACAAGGAGGATTTGTCAACCAGTCATGAGCCTCTTTAGTTGGTGCTCGTTTCCTACGCACCTGGGGATGTTTGGTCTTAAGAGGGGTCAATAGGAGACTGTTTGCGGTGTACGTTGTTTTCTGAGACAATTTATACACATGGTTAAACCTTAAGAAAGCTTTTCCTGGCATTTATGTTACCAGTGCTTCGCGGATATTTGAGGAGAGCTACGTGAAGGAAGGCAGTAAATATTACCAAACTTACTCCAATAAAGTGTTTGGTGGATGGGATATGTGTATCGAAGAAGAAGCTGCAGCAAAGCTGCAGATTATGAGATTCGTTAAAGAAATCGAGGTGAGGTTTGTTTCTTAATCGCCACGAATTCAACCTTTTATCAGATCGTTTTCAGTTTAGTGTTGTATAGCCATTTATAAGAATGTATCAACATTAGAAAGCAGTTACAATCCTTAGTAAATGTCTCTCCGTAACTTGCGCAATATAGCAACCAATTCTGGTTCTGTGAATCTCTTATTGATTGCCATATCTGTGATTCGTGTAACACCTTAGTCGGCGCCAATATTCTACAACATTTCATCGGATGAAGGATGTTCACAGGCATCGAGTATCCAGAGTCGAGCTGACTCTCGTTTCCCTGTTTTTGATTAACGTTTCTCGATTCTCGTTTCTCGTTTCTCGACTCTCCACCCTCCATTGTCGTTTCTCGTTTCTTGACTCCTTACCCTCCATTCTCGTTTGTCGTTTGTCGTTTTTCTTTCATCGCTTCTCGACTCTTGACTCTCGATTCCCGACAAGCGACACTCGACAGTTGAATTAATTACTTTACCCCTTAAATTGGCACAAATTTACCACTCAATATTTACATCTAAGTCTACCCTTTTACCAACAACAGAGTTATTGTTTAAATGAAAGCACATGTATTCTTCTTTTCCAAAAATTCACTTTGTTATGTCCACCTTTTTTCAGGCCAGTATAGAAGAAGACCTCAGACTCGCAAATCTGGCCAACAGAACGAAGAAGGAGAAATACAAATTGTACGCAGTACGAGTTATGGTGAATCTGCTGGTGCTCGGACTCTCAGTTCTATCAGCTTACTTGATTTTCATGACCTCTCAGATGTCTATAGAGGTAGGATGTGGTGCTACTTTAATCCTGTGCGTGTATACAATCACAACGACAATACAACATCGTGTTTTCCTTAAAGTCAGTTGAGGCCCTGTTGCACTAGGCAAGTTTTTCCCTAATTTTGCAATTTTGTTGGGCACGCGCCTGAAAAGTTTATTGAATTCCGTGTAACACCACCTTTTCTCCCACACAATTTGCCTCTTTAATGCGATTGCACAGATTGTCTGGACACATCCTGTAAGAAAGATTGCATGCGCCAGAAATGAGAACCGAGAAGTCTTCATTCTTCATACTGTTTTCAGCATTTCTTCAATCGAAAGGAAAAATGTTTGTTTCCTGCTATACTGTCTAGCGAGAGAAGAGACGAGTTTCTTAACAGGTTATGTATGATTACATCATGCAAGATACTCGCCACAAGATTCAATCCTCACACTTCTAAGGAACCACTTTTATTTTTGTTTCTTGGTGCAGACTTCCCAAGATGATGCTGATATCAAGGCGTCGCTTATGACAGATTTCATTCAGTTGGCGAAGAGTTACGCTTCACCAATCACCCTCTCCACCTTGGGATTCATTGTTCCTACCATCTTTTTCTTCTTCTCTCGCCTGGAGGAATGGAACCCGCGAGTCAGAGTCAACGTAGACCTGGCCAGGTATGTGGTGCATGTGCCAAATGATGTTTGATGGGTTTTTTTTTTTAAACGAAAACCAAAAAAAAAAAGAGAGAGCAAAATACATATATCGCATTTCGCTCTACTTTTTTTTATGGAAGAACGCCATTAGCCTAGGTGCCGAATCATCTTTGTTTCCTGCATTGGCGCAGATGAAAAGTTAATTTAAATCCGAATAACCAGTGGAATACGTAGGACATTTAAAAGGATAATTTGATTCTGTCAACTGAGTTGATGTGAATAAGCCACCTTAAAGATTTACTATATCTAACATTTCCAGCGTTAGCCCTTTATCAGAGAAAACTTCGATCTTTTCGGATATTATCTAACGCAGTCGCAAATGTGATTAATTCCTTGATTAACATCTTCACTTATGTTCAAATGTTTTTCAGAACGGTTCTGTTAAAGTTGGCTTCGGTGGCGGTCCTCATTCTCTCTTTATACAACAGAATTAAGAAGACCTGTATGTTGGTAGGTAAAGAGTTAGTGGCTGTATAATTCACTTGTCCAAGCTAAGTGAGTTTCCTAAGTCAGTCTGTTTGGTTCGTCTGACTGTCTTTGGTTCGTCTGACTGTCTTTGGCTCATCTGACTGTCTCTCTATCCGTCTGTCCGCATGTCTATCTATCTTTCCGACTGCCCGTCTGTTCGTCTGTCTGTGTGTCTGTCTGTTTGTCCACCTGTCAGTTTTGTCGGTCTGTCTGTCTGTCCACCTGTCAGTTTTGTCGGTCTGTCTGTCTGTCCACCTGTCAGTTTTGTCGGTCTGTCTGTCTGGTTTATCTGTTTCTTTGTCTGTCCGTCCGTCCGTCTGTCTGTTTTGTGTCTTTGTCTGACCGCCTGTCGATCTGACAGTCTGTAACTCAGAGTGGCTTTTCTTGTCGGTCTAACTTGTTGCTTTTTTATGTCCAATAGTGCTGGGAGAATGCCATCGCCGCAGAAATGTATAAGTTGGTGTGGACAGACTTTTTCGTGACACTGTTGGTCATAATCGCTGTTCAAACACCTCGAAGGTGATAAAGCAAGCAAAAATTTGTATATCTTTATTTGTTGATATTCAAAACGTGCATTTGCAATTCAGTCTTTGCTTTTTCATTAAGTTTTTTTTTCTACATGGTTGGCCTAAGGCTTTGTTTCTGACCGATAATGTTTTTTTTTTTTTTTTCAGGTTATTTGCTGATCACGTTAGTTTAGGATGTGACTTGGGAAGAAAAATTGGCCGCCCCGAGTTTTTTATTCCAGTTAACGTGCTTGAACTTGTTTATAGTCAGGCGCTAATATGGTAAGTAATGTACACGGTGTGTAGCTTCAAAATTAAGCGAAATGTCGTCAGCTTTGATTTAACATTGATATCTGCCTGTTGCAGTGAGTGTTCAGAATTATTTTAGAGTTACATTTTTTGTAGGATTGGTACGTGGTACAGTCCATTTCTACCCCTCATGGCCATTATCAAGCTACCAATTACTTTCTACGCCAAAAAGGTAAGAAGGAGGACAATTTATCCTCTTAACTGTAGTCTCCACCAGTCGCTTTTTTTTCAGAATGGAGAACAATAGTAAACGGCGGGACACTAGTGGGGGATCAAAACAACAAGGAAGGTTTGGATCGAGACGGGTGATGAACATTGCGCAAAGACACCCAGACCTCCCTCCGCCACTGCTATTGCGCCAGTCTCTACCTATACCTTTCACGGCCAAGCGGTTGTAAGTTTTACAGTTACCCAGTAGGACCTGGGTACGAGATTAATTGCGCCAGTTAGTGTCGCACTCCGTTTTACCAAGTGTGCGCCTGGAACTAGAATCTTGGAGACTGCACTCAGGATTGCCTTTCGTGTTGTATTCAATCAGATGTTTTAAAATCACAACACGATAGCTAATTCCTTGAATCCGAGGACCACCTTGAGGGGAGCCCCTGTTTGCACGCCCTAATGGGACTAAAGGGACCGCTTCTTTAGCGGTACACTTCGGCACACGCTAGGGAAGAACGATCTCGATCCATAGAATCACCTTCTTGTGCATGACAGGACGGAAAATGTGTACACTGTAAGTACCTCCCGTTGTCCCATACAAAGCCTTAGAAAACTTTTCTAAAGCTTTGTATGGGACAACGGAAGGTACTTACAGTGCACGCATTTTCCGTCCAGTCATGTGTCCCCTGCATCTCCGGAGCATGCTCTTGCGGGGTGCAACCGAGTACCTAGCGGTATAACTGGGTGGAAAAACTGGGTTCATTATTCGAGATTGGCGTGGTATATCATAACACTTTAAATACGGGCTAAGACATCCCCGTCAGTTACCTTGATTAATAATTAAGTGATAAAATTATGCAATTCTAAGAAATTACCGGACTTAGCGCACGCCTCCCAGGCGAAACGAAACAATAGGTCATGATTTTTAACAGCTTGTCTATATTTCTTTCAGGCGACTGTGTTTTATAATTGTAAAGCAGAGGAGAAGGCGTACCGTGCTGGGAGGTCAAATTATTTTTTCATGATTCTTTTGCTCGGGACTTTCCTTCTCTGCCTGGCCGCTGTGGCTTATGGAGTTACACAGTAAGAAGCTAAACATAATAGAATCAAAAGTGAAAGTAAAGTGAAATAGCTCTTTTTTTTATATAGAAATTCGTACTTAGGCCAAGGTGGATGTATTAACCGAAACCTGCTGCAGTAGGTGATTAGGAAATATCGATGCATCTGTGTTTTCCACCTCAAAGTTGCTAACTTTTTTTTTTTTTTTGATTTTAAAGCTACTGCAATTTTATCGAACCAAAACTATACTTAGAAGACGCTCTTTTGATAAAGGGATGAGAAGTGTTTATCAATTGGTAACGGGATCTATCTGCACACAAATACAATGCTAACTATCAAGTCTTTGGATTTAAACGCAGTGGTTGAGCGTCTGCGCATTTGCGAACGTTATATAGGCTAGGTTTCGCGCTTTTTTGGGTTGTCATAGCCAAGTTGTCTTTCAAGAGTTATAAACAACCACACGAGTTAGTAAGTCGTGGTGTTTGAAAACTATTTGCGTGACAGCGGTCGCTTGTCGTGTTTTCCTTAAAATTTTTAAATTGGTGCGCGGCCGATATTTTTGCGCATACCCTATGTTTGACCGCTGTTTTTGGATTTATGGGACAAAGGCGACGATACCCAGTTCTTTTTCATCATCCTTTTTGCTTTTATCCCGTTTCGCCAGTAATCATCCAGGGGTACCAAAATTCTCTTGTGTCTGGTTTCCATTTCAGAATTCGTCCGTCAGAGTTGTATGGACCATTTAGGTGAGTTTGTATTTTTTTCGGTTGGCCGAACGTCTACAATCGATTTTGCTGAAGTTTTTGTAAGACTGATAATTGTTTTTATGGATTTTCAGAGGATTAAATGAAGTTTACGACATCATTCCTTGGACTGTGTCCATTCTTCCCGCTGGATTTCGTGACACGTTTCAAATTCTCGGCTCGCCTGTCTTTCTTGTTGTTCTTGGGGTCATCATTTGGTAAGAGCTGGTGATTTTGGTTTTATGGCATTTTTGAAGCACTTTTTACTTTTTTCTACTTTTCGAATCCCACCTTAAAGTGCACCTAAACCCAAAATTTTTTCCGTTTCACGAAATAAGCGTATTTTTTGGAGTATTTCTGTGCATAAATTTTTTTATTTGCTCAAATCTTCAATTTTCTGTGCCCAGTCAAAATACGGAAAATCGGCCGCCATCTTGGCTCACGACCGAGTTTAAAGAAGAATGGTTCTAGCGGGTAATGTGACGTCAAATCGAGAACACGAAAGTCTGCATTTCACACATTTTCACTTGTTTGGGAAGGTTGTCGTCGATATTGTCCGAAATATGCCGACTAGGTGTGTTGTATGAGGAATGTATGAAGCGCGATACCCTCTTGCAAATTTCGCACGTTGCTACATCCTCCTACAACACACTTAGTCGGCATATTTCGGACAATATCGACGACAACCTTCCCAAACAAGTGAAAATGTGTGAAATGCAGACTTTCGTGTTCTCGATTTGACGTCACATTACCCGCTAGA